ATTTCGCCATATTTCTGGTCTTAAGGTTTTCTCAAAATTTCTCAAATTCTTAAACTGTCCCGATTTTTAATTATTCCTCTCTCTAGAATTCTCATTTCGATACAAAGTCTCTATTAGCGAATTGATTTTCCGGAATCGATGTTAACGCGTTATCAAGCGAAAGAACCGAGCGATTCGCGAACGTGGGATTGGAACGCCACGCGACGGTGGTCACACGGCTTTAAAAGAGCGAAACGTGGCACGAAACTCTCTGCGGGGGCAGGAGGGTGCTCGTTAATTTAACGGTGGCGAAGAGGTGTAAGCGCCGGCTAACGTCGCGGCAACGAGAGTCGGGGCAACATTACCGTTTCTACCTTGGGGTTCTATTACCCTTATTGTTAAACTTAGAGTTACTGTGAACTGCGGAGTGAACTATAGACCGCTTCACTGTTGTCGCAACACTCGCGCCGACTGCGGCGGGCCACGTGGCTGCAGGTGTGTGGCGGCTACGCTGGGACGCGTGCGAGGCGGCTCGTCAAGCGTCGCCACGACCGAGCGACCGGTGCATTCCGTCTTTCGTCGAAGCTCGCAAAAATTTCGTCGCCCACGATCCCGCCGTGATCGACCCTCCCTCTCCCCCACCCCTCTACCACGGAATCAAGAGATCCCCTTCCCACGCCTCCTCGCCGCTACCTGTCGCCACACGCCCGCAAAAATTTCGCCGACGTCGTGGACGACGTTTGCTGGAACCGGAAAACGATCTGACCGCGATTTTCCCGCAATTACGTACACGAATCGCGTCGCGGACGCGACTCAGCCCCGAACTAGGCGAAACTACAAGGAAGTGAAACTAAAATGATGTTATAGTGAATAATTCATGGAATCATGGTAGAAGTTGCAAGTATGACGAGCCACTCGAAATTTTGCGATGAGTCAGCTTTTTTTATTATTGCAAACTTGTTTTTTCTTTCCTCTTTCTTCAATACAATTTTCCACGGTGATCCTTATCCGAAAAACACGAAGTGCTAAGTAAAATCGTGGCAGACCAATTGTTGACTGGAATCATTTGTACAGATAAATGTGTTTATTACGGATTACGTCATATCATATAAAGCGATAAAACGTACCCTACGTGTCGTTGCCGGAGAAGTAATGCAATACACGCGGATAGATTAACCCCGAAGTCGCGTTGTACACACCACAAGTTATTACATTATATCTGTGTGCATCGGGCACGCTGTGTGTTGAACATGCGACGTGTTGTTTGGCGTTTCGTGGAAGTCGTCCTGTTATCGGAGACCAAGCTTATTGCAACTTGCTATTTCAAATCCATTCGCGTATGCTTGTTATTTAATACACAGGCTATCGTTCGCTCTATTTTCACAAGTCTCTCGCGATAAAAGACACCAAACATACATTCTTCAAATCTATATTAAATTTACTGTCAAGCGTAGAGTTAATGCTATTAAGCCGACACTGGATATTCACGTGTAAAACCAATATAGTTACACAATATAATGAATAAAATTATAAAATATAAAATTATGAAAGTAACACCATATAATAACCGTGAAATTTCGATTTTGAATATTAATGTACTATGGTACGATTTACCATCATTTAAGTCCTTAATATATTAATAGTGTACAAATCTCGGTGTTTTAATTTAATATATTTAATACAAAAATGTCGAAAAATCGAAAAATTAACCCTTTATTCGTGATTTAAGAAAAGGAAGTTAAATTCTATAAAGATTAATGTTGAAAATTGCGACATTTCTTCAAGGAATTATTCTGGATATTTAAAAAATGAAACTTATTCTATAGATACTAAAATACTTTTCGATTGGCTCGAGGCTTATACTTTACAGACAATCTGACTAAATTATACGTATGCGTGTATAGTTCGCAAGCGATAAACGTTCATCATTGATCAATACAATCTTATAAACAATCATACTATCTATAACATCTATAACATCTTAGTATAATAAAAGCCCTGAAAAATCATGACCGAGTATCAATCGTGAACAATGTGACCCTCGAGAAATAACATTATTTCGGCAAGTAATCATTAGTTGCGATTGATAAACAGAATAAGCAGTCGCTATATTTTTCGATCTACACTAGTACGGTCGAGCAATCGTTATTACGAATCGAAACGTATGAGAAAGAGTTTGGGGAAAACTTCTAATATCGAGTGACTGGATCATCCAATTAGACGTGAAATCAATGAATTCTCCTCGCGCAATTTGGCATCGAACGAATTCAGCTTAATCCAGTAGTTTTACTTCGGCGATATCAAACGACAGGAAAAAAGTACAACATCAAATTGCCGTTGGCTTTCGATTTTTTGCAATTCGCATGTACGTACATTTCCGAATCGCTATCGATTGAGCTGAGGATACAGCTTCGGATTTATACGAGTATACCCCAAATATAATACAGAATCGTCCACGTTGCATAATTGAATGACGCCATAACTCTCAATGTTCATTATTCTTTATTTTTTTAAGATATCAATGGCAATTGATTTGTGTATTTAACAACTGTATTTTAAAAAATGAAATTAGTACTGAATTATTGCAAATTGGAAAAATTATTGCGAACTGAAGAGACCGATCAATTTGAACCAACTTAAGAAGCTAAGAAATTTTGTTTCAGCTTAAATTGATATAATTATATTGATTGTTATTTATATACAGAACATGTTTATTTTAAAAGTATTATAAAATTAAGTGTTAGAAAGAGACACATTGCATTATTGATTGTTTCAATGATTTTACGTGACGTATCGCGAATAATTAATAATTGCAGCATTCATATACGACGTGCAATAGAATGCTCGCGTCTATAGATGCAGTAACGTCCTTTATCCGATGGAGAATAATTTTCTTATATGTAGGCGGAATATTTTGATTGAGAATGCCGCGATGCTTATCGAGCGAAGTTGACAAAGTTGTAAGACCCGGCCGCGGTTTACGTCGACGTTTCGCGCTTCGCAGAAATCTTTGCAACTTTTTCAAGGATCCTCTTCAAGCCACTGGCACCTCGCGCTTAGAAAATGTTTTTCTCGGAAGCAAACTTTATACACGTGTGAGATCAGTCGCGTTAGAAATCGCATTCGTGCGGCAAGGACACTCGCGTTCTCTAGATCGTTCTCAATTGTTCGATCGCAGCTCGGCTGTGACATTGTGCAGGAATATTCGCGACGTTTCTCTTAAGAATAAAAATTTTCTTCGCGAAATCCCTGTGTTCTGCATCGAGAATACATCTGAGAAAGTAGAAACGTGAGATGATAAAAATTAACATTCATTCGACGAATTCAATTTGCCATGCTGTATTTTACGCCAATTGTTGTGCTTCTGAGCACGTATCATGGAATTAAATGAATTTTGATCACAGTTGTTCAATCATTCTAGATTTTTTTTGTTCACTAGATTTTTGTGTGTGTTAGGGAAAACGGCATAATTTCGAACGGAAACTATTCTGAACAGTTCCATAATATGTATTCTGTTGTCACGAATGTATCCAGAAATCATTTTCTTATGAAGTGCGAATCCGTTAGATTATCTATATCGATCTATTTCTTGGGTCCGTATTCACATCTCCCTTTTATCGATGAATACGCGTATTTAGCATATCGTTTATATTACTTATACTACAGAATCTTGGAAATAAATGTGTACATTTATCAATAAAAGTGAAGTGTAAATACAGACCATTATCTTCGATTCTTATAGCAGCCTTTTAAATTATATATACAATCGATATACATATGTATATATATATATATATGTAAATCGTACTAATACAGAACTCTCTATGTGTATTAAAATGGTGCAGATTATCATACATTTGAAGGCTTTATGGGTCTTTTACGGTGAGTCATATTATCTAAGCTTTAAGTCTTAAACCGTCTTGAGAAATTGATCAATCACAGTCGAATGTGAAAAGAATGATCGACAATGATTGGCCAATTTTTCATGCCTAAGACTTAAAGCTTGGATAATGGCTTATTGTAGGAAACACCCGAGGGCCACAGTACACAGATAAATTTAAGAGCAGTTAGACGTAAGCAGCAAGGAAATCAACATGTTGGATTTGCTGTTACCTACGTTATGGCCTTACGGTCTCTATTGTGATTGGCCAATTCGCTTACTATTTAAGTTTTTACAACAAAAGTGTGCTCTTACAATTTGGCCTTTTACAATCTCTATTTAAAAATTATACATTTTTGAGTCCGGTATTTATCTGTTTTTATACAGGGTGTCCCAGAAAGAAAGATAGATATTCTAGGAGATGATGATATTTCATTATCATTTTTTAATGATCATGTGAAAGTGAACATCATTATCTCTCAGAACATTGACCTTTCCTCCTGGAACACCGTATAAGTACGCCTTAAGTACAGTCTTAAGATATCATAAATTAATTACTGTATTAACAGTAAAGCCGCGCGCGTATTAATATCTTAAGACATTACTTAGAGGACAGTTTTGAAATAAAAACTTTTAGACTTTTTGCTATTTGAGTCGTCCCTCGAAGTATTCAATCAGGAAATTAGACGTCAGAATGATAATACATAGACATAGAGCGGTATTCATAGTCCATTTTTATTTTAAGATCATCTTAAGTAATATCTTAAGATGCTAATACAATCCTGTGATTGGTTTATGACATCTTTAGACTGCACTTAAGACAATCTCAAATATAAGAACCAATTAATCTATGAATACCATCCTCTGATTGGTTCGTGACATCTTAAGACTATACTTAAGACGGTCTTAAATAAGATCCGACTATGAATACTAGCCATAGTTATATATCAGCCATGTTTTATTATTGATGTACTTATCGTCGGATTACTGAATCTCTCGATACCGTCTGCACAACTGTTAAACCTTTTAATTTGATCGAAACATGAACATGCGAAAAACAAGAGAAATTAATATGATCTTTCGAAACAAAGCGCGAGGACTTATTGTTAGAGATTTTTCGAGCGAGTACTAGCGGACTCACCGGGTTCGGCGAAGGTGATAATCTCCGAAGTTCTCGCGTAGAAATCATCTAGTTCCTCTTGAACATCATCGTAGCCCTGATAGGATTTGGCGGTGGCCCTAGCGTTACCCTCGGTGGTAGTGGTCTCCTGATCCAGATTTCTATACGAGTACTCGTCGCCGCCGTAGAGGAACTCGCCCGAATATTCACTCTCGTAGTCGACCCTCGACCGGTCGGAGTAGCGCGGCGGCGTTTGCGCCTCCGCCCGGTAAAGGGTCTCCAGGGCCAAGTGCCGGGGCACAGTGGCCAACGTCCTGTTAACGTCCGGGCGAGTCCTCAAGCCAAGTTTCTGCAAGATCTGATGTTTGATCGCCTCCAGCCTGAGATCGTCGGGGCTAGGCGTGGCGGTGTCTTTGAACAGGCCGCCCCTCGGCGGACCCTCGTGGTGAACGTGATGATGATGGTGATGTTGTTGCTGCTGCTGTTGTTGATGTGGGCAACCCGGACACGTTTGATGGTGGCCACTGAGACGCGGCTGTACCGCCGGTAGGGCGAGACAACAGAGGGCTAATCCTATGAGCAGCAAATTCGATGGCAGCGACGGCGGAGCATTAGCGTGGACGGTGCGCACCGGGCCCAGACAGTGCAGGGAGGACACGCGGTCCGCGTCGGGCCCGGCGTCGTGCCGCCGTAATCGCTGCCGCGTCGTCGTCGTCGTCGTCGTCGTCGTCGTTGTCGTCGTCGTCGTCGT